AGAGAGAGAGAGAGAGAGAGAGAGAGAGAGAGAGAAGAGAGACATATACAAGACAGACGATACGTACCTATAAATGTATGAAATGATCGCATATTAAAAAATTGAAAAATAGAAATAGACAAAAATATATCACAATGAATATAATAAGAAAAATATTTAAATGAGAATAAAAAGATAAGTATATATTATATCTTAGGTTTTCATCTTTAAGAAATATTAGCTTCTGACTATGTAATAGATTTGAGTTCTTTGCATATCGATTTTATTTCTTAACAGCATTACGCCAAAATTCGATGATATAGTATATTCATCTTTATTTTCGGGGTCAGTAATGCTCGGCAGCATTTTGTGTTTACAGGAAAAAAGCTCTCATCCTCATAATGAGAATATCAGATTCTACCTCACAGGCACGTATTAATATAATGCGTATACTTTTATTCTGTAAAAGGTTTTTCGAATCTGCAAATGACAAAAAAAGTATTTACGATACAAAAATTATACGATTTAGTCGGTAATACAGGAGGCTTTAGGATCCTCTTAACTTTCTTAACTACCGAGGCTTTAATAGTATTTCGTCGGTAAATCAGAAAATATCAGATGAAAATGCAGGAATCTATTCTTTAGAAAGTAGGTAATAAACATATTATATATAAATATGTATTTACCTATTTCTTGGTGACATTGCATTTTCTCAGTTGGCATTAGTGTGCGGTATATTTAGTACACATGTGTATATACATGGTGGAAGGTGGAAGTGCACCATGCATGTGTATTATGTGTATCACACATCTACTCATGGCATTCATGGCACAAGGCACAACTGATTTATTGTTGTTCCAGTCAGCCGACGTAATGAACAGCAGTAAATGAATATATCGGAATATATACATTTTTGTTACTGCCGACCTTTGAATACAGAGACCATTTCTGCAATATCAAGAACGATAATCAGTAGTTAATACATATTTTATGTTGTTTTAAACACTTATTAGCATATAGATTACAAACATGGTAATTGAGATTTGACGTAGAAATTAGAATTTTGCATATCAGGTATGACTGATATCATAATGTGTCAATTATTTCTTTTAGATACGGTGCCTTGTAGGAAAATTTCATTATTCGAGCGTTAGTGCTACAATCTCACGTACTACTGTTAGGTGGTTGACGATGTCGGAATCTGTCACAGGTAATGATACATTTTTTACATCTTATTTCCTCGATGTAATTACTGATGACTTTAATTCTTTTCCCATACAAATATTTCTGCAAAAAGATATTAAATATTTTATATCTTTAATACGTAGAACTATTCTTCTTAGTATATCAATTTGGAGTATACTATAAAAGAATCCTTTTACATTATAGATATTTATACCATTATTAAGATATATTTTAATATTTATATCATTATTCTCTTTCTAAATCTCAAATAGATTCTTTTTCAGCGTCTAAAGGTATTAAAGAAACAACCAATGCTCAAACAAACATGGATGAGGTTCTTATAAAAGAGGTATGTTCACACATTGTTATGTTTGAGAATTTTCATCAAATACTATTTATTAGAATTATTCAAGATTATATTTATTATGTATATAAAAGATTGGACATAATGGCATCATAGTTTTGAACCGACCTAAGGCGTTAAATTCTATAAATTTGTCTATGGTTCAAAAAATACATTCCATTCTCAAACAATGGGAGTCTTCAAAGAATTTGGTAATAATAGAAGGTACAGGTGAAAAAGCATTCTGCGCGGGTGGTGATGTTAAAGCACTCGTCTGGGCACTGAATGAACCAGAAGGAAATCTACAGGGCGAAGAATTTTTTAGAACAGAGTATACGTAAGTGTTTATTCAAGAATAAACGCATTTTTATCTATTTATGTGAGCAAAATAATTTTTTTTTTGTTTCTAGTTTAAATCATTTGATTGGAACATACAAGAAGCCTTATATTGCTATCATCAATGGAATAACAATGGGAGGTGGTGTTGGATTATCTATACATGGCAAGTACAGAATTGCCACGGAAAAAACTCTCTTTGCCATGCCGGAAACAGCAATAGGATTGTTTCCTGATGTTGGTGCGACTTATTTTTTATCTAGATTAAAAGGCAGACTGGGTTTATATTTAGGTTTAACAGGACATAGATTGAAAGGTATAACTTCAATTCTATTGAGAATTTTATAAATGTATGTATATTTATAAATACATATTATATATTTTTTATTAAGGTGTCGACGTTCTCCTTGCCGGGATTGCGACACATTTCGTACCATCAGAGAAACTTGCAGATTTGAAACGTGATTTACTTGCATTACATGAAGTCGACATTGAGTCCATTTTGAATAAATATCAACAAATGCTGAATCACGAGTTCAGCTTGGCACCTTATATGTCACAAATAGAAAATTGTTTTTCTGCTCCAACTATTGAAGAAATAATTGAGAGGTAAGATAAAGATATTAAAAAGTTGAATTAATATTTTTTTACTCGTAATACAGTAAAACATATATTTTGTTTTTTATATAAAGGTTAAAGAAAGATAATTCGGATTGGGCACAAAAAAACATAGAAATGTTGCTCAAAATGTCTCCGTCTTCTCTCAAAATTACCAAGAAAGCGATTGATGAAGGAAAAGAAAAATCCTTAGCAGATTGTTTAAAAACCGAATACAGATTGGCGTGTACTGCCTTAACTAGAGATGGTGATTTTTATGAAGGTAATGAGTTAAAATTTATGCGCGCCTTACAAGTTGTATTCTTGGTTCAATATTTCAATTGTAGGTGTTAGGGCTCTTCTAGTTGACAAAGATCAGAAACCAATATGGAATCCAATATCCTTGACTGATGTAACGGATGAATATATAAATAAACGATTTGAGGCATTTCCTATGGAGAAGGAGTTGCAGTTGTGTACCAGCAAATTATAAAAATTAATTTAATTTTTATATGTATATTGTGGATGTACATATATATATATGTGTATATGCATATACAATATATTGTTATAGAAAAAAGTTCCTATAACGTAGTTATAGGAATCATTTTTATATTTTGATTTTGTACATATTTAGATATATATTGCAATTGTTGATATTGTGTGTTGTTTTTTTTTCTAAGCCTGGTTCCATCAATGTAAGATTAACTTTTATCTCTGTTCAATTTATGTTTTATTTTTTCTAATTCTAAGAATTAGAAAAGGATAAACCATGTAAGTTTAATTGAGATTAGAATTAATCTTAAGTTGTGTGTATATGCTTAATCTTATATATATTTTTTTAAATTTGTGTGGACAAATTGCTCATTTTTTATAAAGTTTCCGAGGTGTGACACACAAGACGAGATGGTATACAAATTCGTGACACCTGATGTCTAATAATTAATAGTTATGGGGCTGCTGAAGATGATCCGAAATAGAAGTCGAAACGTACGAAGAATATTATATTATTAATTTAAGTCTTCGCGCAACACAGCAACCAGCGGTTGACTCTTATAGTCTTGTACTTTTCTATGTTTACTTTCTATTTTACCAAATAAAGAATTAAGTCAAAAAATTTTAATATTAACATAATTGATTGATTTTATTTTATTTTTTTTTAAATTTAAAAAACTTGCTAGACTACAAATAGTAACTATAATCTTAATATAAACAATTTTTTCTATTTCTTTTCCGTATTATTATATCATTCGAGTATATTTTATTTTATCATTATGGCCCCTAAGTATTTGGCAGGTTTCTGCAATGTTTATCTTAATAGAATGAGAAAATACAATTGAGAGAGAGAGAGGGAAAGGGGGAGGGGGAGAGAGAGAGAGAGAGAGAGAGAAGCAATTCATTGTCTTGAAAAGTATAAACTTTCGAATGTGCATAAAATACGCAAATCATTTAATATCGTGTATAACATGTATTACGTTTTGTTTATACTTTTGTAGACAATTTGAGTTTTTTATGTATATAGAAAAGAAATTATTTTTGTTGCACGGGATGTTATTCGAACTTATGAATACACAGATATTTATATGCAAATAATGTAATCTCAACATAAACTATGATGTTAAAATAGATCTATGATATTAAAATCGACTTTTTTATTACGTATTGAGTATATTGTAGGATTAAAAGAATGAATATGTACAAAACTATAATGTTCGTCACAAGTTTTAATTTGATTTTAATACACTTCTCATATGTTGTTACACTATTTCAGGAGTATTTGATGTGAGAATATAGGAGTATTTGATATGAGAATATATGAATTTAAATTATATTTTAAGTAACATAAAAAAATTGAATTTTTTTCGTCCAAAACGCGGATCACTATGCGCTTGTATGTATTCGCGACCTACTTGTACGCTATACCCGCCCGAAATTGCCAATATATGGTACATACTCGCAAACAGTTACAAACTGTTTGTAACTGCCTGTACATTTGCTACCTGGGCCGCTATTCTTGAAAAAAAAATGTATTATAATAATTAGGGAAATATTATTACATATAATGTATGCTAAACCATAGCATATAATGTATATTAGAATATTCCCTTATAGTTTTTTTATATAAGCTTCTTTTCAAGAATAAGGGCTCTGCTTATAAGACGCAACATGTTTGCATCTCTCTGTATATAATTGCAGCCCATTGACAACCGCAACCAATGTGTACATACGTGAACCATGCAAAACCTCTTGCACATGTTGTATATCAACGACCCATAAATATCTTTATTATACAATACATACATTTTTTTTTCACTGGTTACCTGTAGCCGTTACGCACGTTTACGCATCTTCGCGCTCTGTGATCCGTGCATATTTTTTGTATATCTTAGCTAACGACGGCTTAGATTTCTTTGTAACAATCATTGTCAATTATCATGATTGCTACTAATAAAGATATTCTTTGCGTAAGACAGTTTGTTGCCTTATGCTTTTCTCTCTTGGCTTTGGCAAATTAATTCTAGCGAAGCGTACCGTCATATATTAACCGTGGAATTAGAAGTAACTATTTTATTTGAATTTATTTACATTTTTGTGCTATCGGTATTGGTATATCATTTCTCACATTAAAAACAAAGACTGAATTAAATACTCGAGACCGTTTTATAGTTTTATATAATAATGTATGTATTTTTTTGCAAGATTTTATTGATACTTTTAATTTTGTAATTAATTTTCAATACGAATATGTTAATTAATATAAAATAAAGGTTTTAAATTTATTCGGTAAGAGTAAGCATTCAAATGTACATGCACGGATAATTTATGGTATTAGATATATTATATATATGTATATATATACACATATATATATACAATTAGCTAAATTAAGATATGGTAATCAAATCCATCATTAATGTTGTTAATATCTTACGCAATTGCGATAGCAATAAAATCGCATTAGTATCGAAAATTTTAGAAAATATACAAATTTAATTTTTTAAATAAAGATTTGTATAATTCAGATAAAAATCAAATTGAGATTGAAGTATTCTCTAAATTTTTCGGAGTAGAATCTTATTCTAAATTCTCTAAAGAATAAAAATTGAGCCAATCTTGAAAAAAATTGACACAATTTTTACTCTTAAGAGTAATTTTATTCTTCAGAGTGAGAGTCACTCTTAAAGTTTTAGAGAATACAAAAACACACGTAGGTATACATTTTTTACATTGAATTATTACATTTATCACTTTGACGATAAGATCTGCCCAACAATTGTTTCTCGTTGTGGTATCTTGCAGTATCTTTTATATCGTGTTTATTGAATATTTCCATTTCTTTAATTCTGAAAACAAACATTACATTGTTAAACAAGCATCAATAAGTGAACTTTTGGAAATACTTAATTTATAAAAAAAAATCGATAATAATTAATAGAATAATGCGACGTACCAGAAACTTGAGTATATCTATCTTTTGAGGATCATTATTTGACTTATCGTATTCATCAGAGGAAGTTAGTAAAATTTCTGGGCTGTTTTCAAGTTTTTCGTTCTTATTATGCATCGTTCCTTGTATATTGTTATTTTTTTCCTCATTATCTTCGTTTTTATTGTTAAATGGAATTCTGCAAATATATATCAGTTATTATATCAGCTTATTAATTAATAAATAATAAATAAGACGAAACTGTTTTCTTTTAATAGGATTATTTAGAAGAATATACATACATATACAGTATATTAAATTAGATATATTCGATAAATTATTTTTTATCTTCTATTTATTTGTAGAAAAGTTTGATATTTTATAACAGAATTTGTTTCAAATATAGCAAAAAAAAAGTTGAAAAACTAAATTTAAAGACAGATTTGGTCCTGACAGCGATTTTTTAAATTAAATATTATAATTTTTTTTAGAAGAGAACTGTTAAATGCAGAAATAGAAAATTATGAGTACATATTTATTCATGTTTAAACCATATAAGTATTTGAAAGTCTCTACCCAAGTAGCATAGCAAAGTGCTAAAAAACACTTATATATACAAACCATGATTGCCACCCATTTTCTAAGGAGAGAACTCGATCAATGGAAATACTCGAAATTATTTATTCAGACTTATGCGGACCAATGGAAACGCCAACCTTTGTCGGCTCAAGGTATTTATTTGCTATGCAAATGATAAAAAAATTGTACCGTTAAAGTTTAACTTTGCCTCATGTTCTCATCTTAGGAACGCTGTACATGATAACGATATCCTCAACAAACCTGAGCTAGTCGATTGCAAGCTCTTAGCTTTAGTTTTTAGTACGTAAATAAAAACAAAAACGATGTAATAAATGAGAACAAAATTTTCGTTCGCATCACTATATTATGTATATATAATTCCTTTACTCCCTATTCTATTAGTCCTATCTTATACCTCGCCTCGCTATGGTACTTTTGTTTGGATAAACAGCAACCGGTGCTACTCTTACCGTATCACGAATCATGTATGTATACGTTAGCTGTCCGCGTAGGAAAAAGGAACATATAAAAATCGACGGCACACGATGCTTGTTTTCTTGCAGGATTGCTGGTGGGATTAGATCCTTGTTACCGTATTGGCTAGGATGCTAACACTGTCAGCACCACAGCCAATACGGTAGCAAAATTCTAATCCTGTTAGCAATCCAGGAGGAAACTAAGCATTGCTAGCTCAACAGATGAAAAAACTGAAACACGCGTGGGATGTTAAACAATTCGGAGGTTAATATTGATCGCTGTTAAAGTATAAAGAGTGCTGCAATATTATGGAGCGATATCACTATCAATCTCCTCATAGTGGCACATTTGATTCGATTTATTTTATATATATAATGTAAATAAAACCCGGATCTCGTTATAGCTAAGAATGTTTCTCAGTGTCAGTCTGATCTGCGCAAGCAACAAATTTAGTCACGTAAATTTAGACACCGTCCAGAAGGCTGAGGGCGACCCCCAAGGTCTCCTCCCAAAAATCCCCGACTTTATCAACCTGAGGTTGATTCCGAGGAAATAGTCGAGTTCCTGCTCGGCTTCTTTTATTGCCATAATGTGAAGTGGAATTATTCCATTTCCTTACGGCAGTGCTGGAGATCGAACAAAAAGAGGAGGAGAAGTAGAATCGAACGTAGGTGCAGGGATAGGGAGAGGTACTACTAGGAGGACGACCTAATAAGTACGTGAAAAATTTGTACTTTTCTTCTTTGCATGTCCTGCTACTTCTTTTAGCGATTGGAATATCGGCATCGGCGCTTATTCTTTAAAGAAAGGGTTGCAGGTCGGTGGATGGGAGCGGGAAGGTGACGGGGGCGGCGGTTCCACAAAAGATCCTTCCCCCCAAACATCGTCACCGATATCATGTTACATATGATACCGCCGAGTTCTCCGCGTTATACTCCTTCGTGCGCCTACAAATACCCTTCGCGCGTCTCATACCTCCCTTGGAGCTCTCAAGTTAGAACCTTTATATTTCTACTATTTATGATAGTTACTGCATATGTTCACAATTAGTATTATGTTTTTTAATTAACATCATATGAAATAATTTTTAGATTAAAATTAAAAATGTCCATTCAATAAATTAAAAAAAAGATGTATTTTAATTTAATTTTTCCCAATAAATGTTACATAAATATTTAGTAATATTTCTGCAGCGATTCGTTTTCGTGGACATTGTAATATTACTGTTGCATCTTACAATTAATAATATTTCAGCGATTTTTGCAAGATTTCATTGTAATATTGCAATGGAAAAATGATATTGCTGTGATATTACTATTATATTACGTACTACATATGAGGGATATTAATTTTAAAAATTTTCGACTACTTGAGGTTTATACATTTATATCCAGTGAGGAACTAATGGCAAAACCAATCATATTAAAAAAATTTACAACAATTGCAAAGCTACTTTTTTTGCTGAATGCAACCAATTCATGCGGCAATTACGACGCATGAAGTTAAAATACAGTTGCACCGAACATCGTCAATTTTTGCTCCCAACTGGGAAATGAAATGTGTACGTTTTTTGTAACTTTTGGCTGCAGAATCACGTGCGATCAGTTTTCCATAAATATGAAGAGAATATGTAAAAATGTGAATGAAATGAGTAAATTAACATAAGATTTGATGTCATGAAAATGAGATACATATAATATATAATGATCCTTTTTAACATTTAACTCTCAAAAACTATATCAAATATAAGGCATCTTGTGACAGAATTTGACCCAAGATTACGAGGATTATCCAGAAAGTAAGCTCCGATGGCCTATTGTGAAAAAAAATAAATATACAATATCAAATCTTATCGGACCGTGAGAATTTAATTGTTGTATCCCTTTGTTATAGAATGTTACCGCTTGTGAAATTTCTGGCAAATAGGTACAAGGAGAAAGACGTAATGGTAAATCGTCTGTTCTCTTAAATTTTCTCTTCAACTGCACGCATCAAATCGTCATTAACCAAAGACGGTCGCCCGTTCCCGTTTATCGTGCACATTTTCGCGTCCTTCATTAAAAAATTATACTCATTTCTGTGTCATTAAATTACTTATTGCATATTTTCCATGTATTTCACCAATTTGACGGTGAATTTTTGCCGCTTCAATGTTTCTCGCATTTAAGAAATGAATCACAGATCGTTTTTCACAAGCGGCGGGCATCGCGATTTGTTAAAACGTTAAAAGCACACAGTGTAATGTGTATACACTAAATCAATAATTGAAAATCGTGTCAATCTCTTGCGAACGAATCAACAACGGCACGCATGCCCATCATCACGATCACACAACTGCGATAAAATTTAAAAACAGAACTTATTTTCTAGATAGTCTTCGTAACATATTATGAAATATTATATTTTTTCACTGAGGTTTATTCAAAAAAATAATTTAAAAATTGCTGTATGTGCAGTTTTTGTAAACAATCTTTTACCAAAATATCGTTTGATATTTTCATTTTTGTTTCTTCAAAAATATATTTACCTGGTTGACTCAACGCTCTCATCAGTCAGCGGTATCATATTGTGGTTCCACTTTGATGGGACATCCTTAGGAAAACTATCCCCTTTAATGTGATATTTATCCATCAATGATAATATGGGCTGTTTGGTGATCAAACGGGATAGAATCCATTGCATCTTGGAGAAAGGTGCAATGTTATCTTGCGGGAATTCATTCAGCAAAGATTTGACCGTCAAAGTGCGTCTAGTAGGTATATCTTGAATGTTGCCGCGCTTTCCATGTGCTACAATTTTTATATATATAATACATTAATGATTAAACATTAGATAAATTATTAAAATACTTGTTATTATACTATTTAAATAAAAAAATATTTACTATTATACATATTAAAACTATTTACACTATTACTACATACCTCCCCAACAAGAATGTCCATAGCTTAGACAGGACACTGGAATAATAATGAGTGCATTACATAATATTGAATAAACAATTTATGGAGTTATATTTCTAGTTGTTAATATACAGAGTGTCCAATAAAGACCGTAACGAGTTTTAAAAGAAGATTTCTGTGATCACTTTGAGATGAAAATTCTAATACCAAAATATCGAGACTATAATAGATTTTGTGAATTATAAGTATTTAAAGTTAGCGAATTATATCACCTAAAGTTCACGTGTAACAAGTGAAGAAGAAGAAGAATTTTTATTCACTTTAGCTTTACAAAATTAGCCAAGAGAAGGGGACTTGGTTTATAATATTTTCAACTATTGTATAATAGCATGTCTGTTTAAAAATAGAGAAATAAGAATTCTTGTTAGAAGGATGAATACGATTAAATCTTATTAAATATATCAGAAATTCTTGTAGATCGAATGAATGTTTTTTCTCATTAACTATGGATGCATTCCGTTTTACGCGAAATGTATCATTTATCTCTGTTGTTCATCGAACGTAAACATGACAAATGATAGATCACGTGTGTCACACGTACAGGGAAATGCACCCACTCCAGTCTATGTGCTATAAGATTTTTAGAGGCACTAATCAACATTTTGAAAGAGGAGAAAAAGAGACAGAAGAGAGAAACAAAAAGCAATAAGATTAAATATCACTTTAACAAATTTGATTAGATGCACTCATAAGGTCGAAATGTTCCTCAAATGTTCCTCACCAATTTTAGTGATTTTTGAATGTGTTAGAGCATCAAAAAATATTAAATTCATATTTTTTTTTAACGGCGTACCTCGAGGTTGACGGTGTGCAACTCTGAGGAGCTTTGACTAAAATATGTTTCTTTTTTTTTTAAATTGAGTACAATATTTGCTTTTTGTATGGAGATGGAGTACCATATTAAAATATTTTTCTAATCTTTGATTAATGTGTGTGTAATTTACACAAATCGAGAATAGTATGAGAAATAAAACTCCAACAAAAAATAGAAATTATGTCTTACTTACCGGTCACGGATTCGACAACACAAAACATTAACATGACCATACAAATCTGCGCGAGGATTATCAAAGCGCCAGAATTTTTCGAAGTCGACGCCATGTGATACTTTCAGCTGATTCTTTTCTATATGATAGATGTGTTTGGAAAACGTGGTACTATAGGTTGTTTGCTACCTGCAAGTCGTTTAATTTTTTTTTTGTTTTAAAAATTTATTTTCTTGATAAAGTAAAATAAAATTTATATATATATATATATATATATATA